CCTCTCTCCACGCCGTGCCCAAGCCTTGCTGGCCGCGGCTGCCCTCGAAGCCGTGCCGCAGCCCTCCTTCTGAGCAGGGACCGACCGTCCCGGCATTCCTGGAGTCCTACCACGAAATATTCTTAGAACCTAAAAATGTTCCAAGAACGAACACACTGTCCCTAGAGCATGAACCCGATGCGATACAAGACAGACTCCGCCAGAAATGTTCTAAGAACATGTCGTGGACACTACGACATGCCTCTGGTGTGATGTGGTCTGATCACAACGAAAACTGCCAGGACACTAGGTCCAGTCGGCTTGGCTGCTGGGTTTTGTCTGGTAGCCTTGAGCCGGCTCGGAAGATGACATACATATCACAAATGAAATTGGAAAATGTGTAAGAGTGTCTGGAAAGCTCGAGCGCGGCTGCCGGTCCAGCCGGGCATGACAAGGAGGAGCAGGAGGGGGCGAAAGCGCAGGAGGAGCAGGCGGGGCCGGGAATGAAGGGGCCCAAGGACATACACACATAAATACAGACAAATCCCAGGATTCCCCGTATCTTCCCATACGTTTTGTGTTTTCGTCTTCCCCCACGCTTCCCATATTTCCCCATATTGTCCCAGAGTGGACGATGACTTGTGTCTGTGTGTGTTTGTTCCCCTCCCGAGGGAAGTGGTCAGGGCGTCGCACCGAAGCGTGGTGGGCCAGAACCGGCGGAGCGACACGCTGTGCAAGAGTTCTCGAACGTACACGCTGCTCAGGCCCCTCAGTGGGGCCATGGCGTCGACGAGGCTGAGGCCGAGTACTCGAGACCAGGCACTGAACCTCCGAGCAAGTACAGTCAACCCGCAGAATAAGGATGCGCGATAAGGATGCAAGGGCCTTGGAAGCCCATCTCGAAGCGTTTCGAGCGGGGCGCGGCCAACGAAAGTGGCCAAGGATGGACCCAGGAGGCAAGGATGCAAGGGTGCCCTTGGGAGGGATGCCTATCCTTACTCTGCGGGTCGACTGCACTCCATCTCCCCCCCCTCCCGCTCGAGCCCTGACCAGGGCCCCGGCGTCCACAGGGCCCCCAGCGAGCACGCAGAGGAAACGATCGTCGCGCACGGCCACGCGGAAGACTCCGAGGCGTCCCTGCCTGGCTCTGCCCCCCGCGGGAGCACCGGCTCGTGCTCGCTCGCCCGCAGCAGGTGTCTCCCGGCTGCCACTGGCACCGTGGCCACCACGACTCGGATCCAGCAGGCCAGCCAACGAGGGAAACAGAAGGCGAGGAGGACGATGACCATGACAGAGAGGTGGATTACGACAGGGAGGCGGAAACGACACGGGTGAGTGCGCACGGTACTGCGAGGCAGGGAAGCCGCTCCGCCTGTCGAAGGCAAGGTTCTCTTGCCTGATCTTCTCGTCGCGCCTTCTCCTCGACGCGCGGGACGGGCAATGCAGACAACTGCAAACATCAACAACACATGAACATGAAAAAGAAGGCGAACAACTCTTAACCAGGTGCAGCAAACTTGGGTGAACTGCACCGGCACGGATGCTCGGGGCGGGTGGGAGGGAACGACTGCACCAAAGTCCTCTGTACGCTGCACTGCGGCGCTGCGAACTCATCTCGTAAGGCGCGTGCGACGAGATGCGTCTCAGGCCACAGCAGCTCCCAGACTCCCCGAGACAGGTGCTGGACCGCCACAACTTTACACGAGGTGTCACAACGTTCACTGCTCAGCCAGCTGGCCCGCCACATACACTTGTTTCAACGGCTTGGCTTCGACCGCGCGATGGACCTCCGCGCCACGCCGCGGCCGCGGCGGCCGCGCCGGGCGCAGCATGCGCGGGCGCAGGGCCGAGACGCCACATAGCTGGCACGAGGGCCAAGAGGAGGGGGAGGAGAAAGAGGAGGGAGGAGGAGGAGGAGGAGGAGGGAGGAGGTGGAGCGTGGCCGAGACAGGAGGAGGGAGGAGGAGGAGGAAGAGGGAGGAGGATGAGAGGGAGGAGGGGGAGGAAGAGGAGGGGAGGAGGAGGAGGAGGAGGAGGAGAGGAGGAGGAGGAGGTGGAGGAGGAGGAGGAGGAGGAGGAGGGAGGAGGAAGGAGAGGAGGAGGAAGAGGGAGGAGGGAGGAGGGAAGAGGAGGAGGAACAAACGTTCGGAGCGTGATGCCGAAACTCGGGCGCGCACGCCGAGAGGCACGGGCCCCTGTACTCGTGCGCGCAGGTGCTCCTTTTGTCCAAGCTCACACCGAGCCCGCAACTTCCCATGCTGATCTTCTGGAGCTCAAATCCCTATCGACATCTTTTGGATATCTTGAAGACGTTTTTCGGGCAGACCCTCGAAAACGTTTTTGGGGCATTTGGGGGGGGGGGAATTTCCAGGGTTCTGGTGATCCTCAGAGTCTAGCGGGTTCAGCGCATTACGGCCTTACCCCTCCCCCGCGCAGGCCAGCGCCCGGGTGCAGCACCGTCGGAGAAACACATCGGGCGCGCACTCGCTCCACACGGGCTGCTCCTGTATCGCAAGACGTCATTGTGCTCGCCGTAAAAAATGCGGCTCCCCAAGGTTAACGGGCGAAGAACGGTATACAATAATTTGTTTCGCTGTAGGGGGCGCCTGTCCCAGGGCGGCTGGAAAGTTTATACCCTTACGGTGGCACCGTAGGGGTATAAACTTTCCAGCCGCCCAAGGACAGACGCCCCCGACAGCGAAAACGTTTATGTTATACCGTTCTTCGCTCGCTGACAAGAGCCCCAATCTTCTTTTTTGAGCGACACCTTGCCCTGGTTCGCAAGCTCAGTCGATCTTGCTCGAATCGCAGGTTCACTTGGAGTGGCAGCGGAGAGACCTGGCCTGGCCGCGGCCTGTAGGAGCATCCAGCGCTGTTTGGCTTTCGGCAACGCGGGGATGCTGCTTAGCGCGGCGTAAGCAGCCAAGCAGCAAGGCAGCTCAACATCCACAACCACCAGCGCGACCAGCACGACTACCACAGCGACCGCCACGACCACCGCGACCACGACCCACGCCACCGCCCACGCCCACGACCACGCCCACGACCACGCCCACGACCACGCCCATGACCACGCCCACGACCACGCCCACGACCACGCCCACGACCGCCCCTGCCCCCACGCGACGGCCCCCACGGCAGCCCCCGCCCCCGCCCCCTCCTTTGCTCTCCCTGACCCTGCTTGGCCGCCCCTGCGCCCCACTTCTTCGTTCTTTCTCCTCCCCGAATGTTCTGGCACTGCTCTCCCGCGCACCCTGACGTGGCTTGGCACCAGGGGACCGCCGCCAACCGACCCTGCCCGGGCCTGGTTGTCCCCTGGGTGCCGGGACTCCCTTTCCTCCCCCTCCCCCCCCGAGAGAGAGAGAGAGAGAGAGAGATAGCTAGATAGGGGAATCTACCGACACATAATATGCATGTCTATATACATCAAAGAGAGAGAGAGAGGAATAACGAGAGATAGAGATAGAGATAGAGATAGACATATATATATATATATATATCTCTAGAGAGAGAGAGCAAGCGAGAGAGAAAGACAGAAAGAGAGAGAGAGAGAGAGAAAGAGAGAGAGAGAGAGAGAACGAGTGTGACCACCATCAATCATCTACCCTCTTGTCTCTGCAGCCTCGCTCCGCTCCTCCATTCCTGCGGCTGCTGCTGCTTGCGCACTGCCTGCCGCCTCGTGAGAAGGGAGCGTGTGTCCTGTTGAGCCCCGCCGACGCTATTGCCGCAGGAGGGTTGCTGGAGCCGCTCGCTTTCAGTGCTGGGTGAGGGAACGGGAGCAGGGAGGAGGAGGGAGGAGGAGGGAGGAGGGAGGAGGAGGGAGGAGGAGGGAGGAGGAGGAGGAGGGATGAGGAGGAGGAGGAGGAGGACAAGGAAGGACGACGAGGGAGGAGGAGGAGGAGGACGAGGAGGAGAAGGACGAGGAGGAGAAGGAGAAGGCGATGGAAGCAAGAAGCCTGCGATTCAGCTGCCTGATCAGCGACACCGATCGGACCTCGCGACTCGGACGCCGCGCTCCACGGCGCTCCCGCTCACGGGTAAGCCAGGGCTGCTTAGAGAGCCCTGGGAGTGGGGAAGCGGGGCATCCGCGTAGACAGGACGACGCGGAGGATGCCTGCAGACACGCACCTGCATTGTGACCCTCTCGCTGCTGTCACGCTGGAGCAAAGGCAGGCACTGCATTCGCAGGAGGGCGGCCAGACAAAGCTGTCAGATCTGGAGATACACGTCAGCATGACATCGGCAAAGAGCCGAGAGCGGAGGGGCCTGGGGCACGGGGAGAACGAGCAGGAAGACGAAGCAGTGGAGACTTTCTCGCTGTGTGCGCTTAACTGCCGCTGCTGCGCCGACGAGGCTCGCGCCGATTCCAGTGCACACTTCTGCGTCGCGGCTCGCCACAAGGAGCGGCCGCCTGCCACTCCACCCTGCAGCCTGGCGCCTCAAGCATGGAGCGCGAACCCTGATGGGCGGCATGGTTGGACCAGTTGAGGATCAAACATTACGAGCTGTGTTGTTTTATGTTTGTATATAAAAAAAAGGATTGCCACGAAGCGCGCCAAGGATCGGTCGCGCACAAGTCGGCCTTGCCCTGGCCTGGGCCGCCCGGTCGGGCGGGGCGCCGCGCGCGCAGGCCTGAGCAGCGCCCACCGCTCTTGGTGGACTGGTCGAGGACATAAAGCCGCCACGCCATCGATGCTGTCGGGGCTCCACTCGTCACCGAACGCTGGCATGGAGCCCTGGCCGTTCGTCACCTGGCTCTTGAGATGGTGGCCGCGCTGGAGCCGCCGGCCAGGCACTGCTCGCTGGCCGCCCCCTGCAGGGTCTTCTTCGCCACCACGCTGTTGCTCCCCCCCTGCGTGCGTGGCACGCCCCGCACAATCGCCCACGAACGCGCTCTCGCCGTTTTTTTTTTTTTTTCCTCAGAGCTCCTGCCGGGTCAGTCAGGCCTTGCACGGTCCTGCAGGAGCCTGCAGACTCTTGCAGGATCCTAAGCCCAAGCCCGGATCAATGCCCCCCTGGCTCTGAAGGATCCTGCACGATCCGGCGGACTGACTAGAGGCCTCCTAGATGGGGTCCGAATAGATGTGGTCGGAGGATCTCGCCGCACCGCCGATACATCGGCGATGCATCGCTGATATATCGGCGATGCATCGGCGATGCGCTGGCGGCGTCGGCGATGCCTCGGCGACGTCGGCGTGGAGAAAATTGGGCCCCACATCGAGCCGCATCGCCGATGCATCGCCGATGCGGCGCGATCCTCCGACCCCATCTGCTCCGACCCCGTCTAGGAGGCCTAGACTGACCCCGTCTGCATTGACCCCCGTCTCTTCATTTTGGACGCCCGAAATGGGCACGGAAAGAATGGGTACAATGCCCAACAACAAATGTTGTCCCAAACCAACAGCGGCCGCTGTTGGGCAGGCGGCCCTGTGTCTCAAATGGACACAGGCCGCGGCGGCGTGGACAGCGAGTCCTGTTCAAAATGAACAGGAACTGCTGTTGGGCATTGTACCCATTCTTTCCGTGCCCATGTCGGGCGTCCAACTTCATGCCCTGGTCTCGGGGGCCCGCCGCCGGCGCCGCCCGCCCGCCACGCCGCCACGCCGGCGGCCGACGAAGCCGCCCGCGCGCAGGACAGGGCGAGCGACGCAGGGGCCAGGCCCTCATCATGAGCAAACCCGACACGCGAAGCTGTTCAGCACACGCGCCCGAACAAGGAATCGAGCAGGGCAGGGCTCTTGGGGGAACGCCCGGGGCCGTGCCGCGTTATGTTGCTCCCATCGCGAGTCAGGAGAGCATCCCAGAAAAAGCTTCTTCGAGCACGCGAGAGCCATCCAGTTTTAGTGGTTCTGGGTGCTCGAACTTCTTTCCGGTGGTCAAAGCTGCCGTGGGTTGGGACATCAGAGCGCGGGCGGAGCATCGTCGCTTCGAGACGGCACGCGCGCCCTGGTCGGCTGCGGGCCTGGGGCCAAGAGATCAGTTTGAGCCAGTCGAGGGCTGCTGACTGGGGGGGGGAGGGGGGGAGAGGGTGTCGAGGGGAGGCAGGGGCAGGAAGGGGGGCAGGAGCGGGAGCGGCGAGAGGACGGTGAGGATCCCCTGGCACGTCCCCTTATTACGCCTCCTGGAACGCATGAGTGTCTGGAGCTGGGCTGCACCAGCCTCGAGACGGCACCTACGGAATGAGCTTGGGAGGCTCCTGGAATGCACCGTGGTCTGGACCTGGGACGCAGCATCCTCAGGCGGGCACGCTCGGGATCAGGATCGCTTGCTTTGTCCAAGACGGGAGCGGGAAACCCCCAAAGGAAGCATTGTGTGTGTGTGTCATGTCGACGTCTCGACACACGCGCCAGCGTCCGCTGGCGCCGCCGAAGAACAAGTAGGACGCTGTATCGACCGCACTCGGGGAAGCATGATTGTCTTACCGACTCTGGTAGGGAAATGATATGATCCGCATCGTCCAAGACAGGGTGTTTGCCAGCGTGGGCCACAAACAGCAAGTGTTGCACTGCGGATGTGTAGGCTGCATGGTGGAAGCTACGTAGTGCAAGCTATGTGGTGTGAGCTATGGCAGCCACCACCAGTCCGCCGGATATTCATATGCCACCGTTGCTGCTCCCGCTGCTTGTCCCCCTCCACCTCCGTTGATTCGCGATGCCGAAATCCCAGGATTCAGTATCGTCAAGACGCAACAGTCTGGTTGAATCGTGGCGTTGGAGTTCCGAGACTGGAGTTCTGGCAGGCTTCAGGATCTTCAAATGGTTGTCTCCCAACGGGACACTTCCCGCGGTGGAAATGAACCTTATAGGGGCCTAGGAACAGAAAGGTTGGAGGGAGGGTTGATTCCAACATAGTTGATGAGTCTTGGGTTTACACTGGTTCTCCTCCTCTTCATGCTGTTGTCGCGCCGCTGACCTCAGCCCATGCCCCTGACGATGAGGGTCGGACATGAATGTTCGACCTGCTACAGTCGAACCGTATAATAAGGACGTACGATAGGGCCGTGGAAGACTATGTTGACGTTTTTTGAGTGGGGCTGGCCAGCGGAAGTGGCCAAGGATATGCCGAATGGGAAGGATGCAAGGGAACCCTTGGAAAGTCGCGCATGCTTAATATGCGGGTTGACTGCACTCGTCTTCAGCCGATGCTGGCAGCACCCTCTGGCTGTAGACCCCAATGCGAGGCAACGTTTCGAATCCCCGGCAATCTCTCTGTCGGCCTCCGGCAGGGCGGGGGGGGCAGATCCACTTGGCCAGGGTGTGGGCGCATGCGTCTCATTCTCAGCGCATTCCTGTGCGGTCGACGCTTCGATACGGCTGGACCTTGGACAGAAGAAAATCCTTCATGAACATGAGACCCTCCACCGGCCAAACTAAAGTACATTCGAAAATACCCTCCCCTATAATGCACAATCACATCCAAAGAACACGAAGAAAATGAGGGTACCTTCCCGAACATACCTCGATCTTATACCTCGGTCCGACCGTATGCAGACGGTGTGGAAGTGGTGGCTGAGAGCAGCTGCGCATGTTAAGCCAAGGGCGTGAAGGCATCGACCGACTTATGAGGGTGCTTGAGGCCCAAGGGCCTTGCGTACTTTCTGGGTGCTTGTGGATCTAGCTTTGCGCCTGTCCCTACTCCGACTCCGAATCCCCGCTCCTCCCTCCAAGCGTGCCCCCGGGATCTCCTCCTCCCTCCTCCTCCTCCTCCTCCCTCACTCCTCCTCCTCCTCCTCCTCTCTCCTCCTCCTCCCCCTCCCCCTCCTCCCCTCCTCCCCTCCTCCTCCTCCTCCTCCTTCTCTCCTCCTCCTCCTCCTCCTCTCCTCCTCCTCCTCCTCCCTCCTCTTCCTCCTCCTCCTCCTCTCCTCCTCCTCCTCCTCCTCCTCCTCCTCCTTCTCCTCCCTCCTCCTCCTCCTCCTCCTCCTCCTCCTCCTCCTCCTCCTCCTCCTCCCCCTCCCCCTCCTCCTCCTCCCTCCTCCTCTCCTCCTCCCTCCTGCTCACTCCTCCTCCTCCTCCCTTCCCCCTCCTCCTCCTCCTCCCTCTACCTCCTCCTCCTCCTCTTCCTCCCTCCCTCTCTCACTCTCTCCTCCTCCTCCTCCTCCTCCTCCTTCCTCCTCCTCCTCCTCCTCCTCCTCCTCCTCCTCCTCCTCCTCCTCCTCCCCTCCTCCTCCTCCTCCTCCTCCTCCTCCTCCCTCCTCCTTTCCCTGCGCGCCAATCTGTCTCGAGACGTGCCCAGCTCTGGCGACGAGGGCCCCTCTCCCCCGGAGAGGCCCGCCGTGTGAGCTGCGGCGCCGGCCGTTTTTTTTTGGGGGGGGCCCTGGCTTGCCATCGCTCGGACGTGCGTCCATTCCCTGTCCTCCTCCTCCTCCTCCTCCTCCTCCACAATTACTCAATATGAATACTACTCTCCCTCTTCCCCCGAAGGCGGCCTGAAAGTATTAGACCCCCCCGCGCACTGCTTTTTAACACACAGGATTCCCGGGAGTTGGGTTTTCGCCTGCGCATGTTTCGGTTTCGTGCGTGTGTTTGTGTGCTCGATGCTCCAGGATGCTCCTCCCGACTACCTACCAGACCACCCCAACCCAACCCGAAGGCCCGAATTCGACCCGAATTTCGGGTTGCGGGGGGGGTACGGGTTCCATGCGTTTTTTTCGATGTGCCCCGACCCCCCCCCCCACTGGAAATCGAGGATACATTTGGGCCTTCGGGTTGGGTTGGGGTGGTTTGGTGGGTGGTGACCTCCAGGGCCTCGCCGAGAAACAAAATGCACACGCCCGAGCGATGCCAGGTTGGCCAGGTCAGAGCGCAACCCAGGCGGGCCGTTCGGGGAGGGGCGTGCTGCACACGCCTCGAGGGGGCGCCAGCGCCCAGTGGGGTCAGCGACGGGCCGCGGCCGGAGACGGACGGTGGCTCCCGCGGCCTACCCTCCACCACAGCCGAGCGTCACCTCCTCAGTTGCCTAGAGTCTGAAGAGAGAGAGAGAGAGAAAGAAATAGACAGGGGCATAGAGCGGAGACATGGAAATCCTCCTCATCTCTCTCTCTCTCTCTCTCTCTCCCCACCTCACGCCCAGAAGCCCCCATCTCGAGGAACAGAAAATGGCACAAACACGATTTCTCGAAGGTCCGCGCGGATTTCTTGGATCGGTATTGGACTTGTCCTCCCTGGCGCGCGGAGCGCGCCAGGGGCGGCGCCGGAGGCGCCGCCAAATGTGCCCCAGTGCAAAGCCAAGAAGTCCGCGCGAAGCTGCGAGAGTCTATGTGAATGCAGGTGTGTATCCTTGCCATTCTTCTCAATGTTATGCTTGTTGTTTGTACTCCTAGTATTGTGTTTCTGCTTCGGGCGATAATCATTCATCATATATATAGAGAGAGAGAGAGAGAGAAAGCAAAACACGAGAGAGGGAGGGAGAGAGAGAGAGAGAGAGAGAGAGAAAAGCAAAACCACCACAGCGAACCTATAACTAAAATGAAAGACAGAAATATCGATAGAGAGAGAGAGAACGAAGATGGACATGTAACCCTGAAAGTTCTTGAGACCCCCCAAAAGGGGGTAACTCATTATTTAGTCGGCAGCCTTATTGAAGGACTGGGGTCCCACCAATAGACGGTAACCAATCATTTTTTGTTCCGCGGCACCCGCCGCGCAACAACGACGACGACAGCTACGACTACGATTGCGACTACGACTAGGACGACTACTACTACATATTCCTCAGGAGGCGGGACGAGGGGGGAGGAGGAGGAGGAGGAGGAGGAGGAGGAGGTTTTAGGACCAGTCCTATTCGCCGCCGAGAGACAAGAAGGGGGGGGGGGGAACCATGAAGACCTTTGGCGGTCAAGTCCTCCTCCTCCTCCCCCTCCCCGCCTCACCTGCGGAGGCCCCCTGCCGCTGCATCTGCCGAGCGCCACCCAAAAAAACAGAGCTGGCACACGCCTGGACGCACGACCGAAGGCGCTGCGGGCGCTGAGCTGCCCCCTCTGCGCGGGGGCCGGCGCGTCCGACCACGCCGCCGCCTGCGAGACCTGCCGGAGGGGAAGGGCTGCGGGCGGCGCCCCCTGTGCCGCCCCCCGGGCTCCGCCGCCCTCGGGAGGATGGGGAGGACGATGGGGAGCAGGATGAGGAGGAGGAGCATGAGGAGGAGGAGGAGGAGGAGGAGGAGGAGGAGGAGGAGGAGGAGAAGGAACAGGAGGTTCAGGAGGAGGTGGCGGATCTCGCATTCGCTCGGACGCTCTCGATCTCGTGCGCTTACTTTCCGCAAGACGATCAGGAATGCTCTTCGAGGGCCCTCGCCGAGAAAAAAGGCACACGTCCGAGCGATGCCAAGGAGTCAACAGGAGGAGGATGAGGAAGAGGGAGGCGAGCGGAGGATCCTCGGAATGGCAAGGCTTCGGGCTGAGAGCACAGACAGCTCTCGGGAGCGGCCAAGAGGGAGGTGTCCAAGAGGGGTGGTGCAAATCATGTCCAGCGGCGTGTGTGCAGCGGGGGGGCCGAGGCACGTAATGGAATAAGAAGAGGCGCCATGAAACCTGGGGAAATATCATGCCCCCCGCCATGATATCCCCCCCCCCCTAGTCATCACCCCCCTCTTTGCCGCCCCCAATCCAAGGCGGGCCCAAGACGCCTCTCGCCCACGACCCGGGCACGGTGGCAGGAGAGCCCAGAACCGAATCGATAGGTCGACTCGGCGATCGAAGCGAATCGGATCGGCGGGCATCGGCGGCCGAGTCGGGCGAAGTCGAGTCGTCGGAAGCCGGCAGAGTAGGAAGGCATCACCCCCCTCTTTTTGGCGGCGCGCACAAGGGGGTGGGGGGAGGGGGAGGGCTTCTTAGAAGCAGGCTGCTTCTTAGAAGGCGCCGCCCTTACATCTATAGATAAGGCCCGCGCCTTCTAATAACCAGGGGTGCTTCTAAGAAGCCCCCCCCCTCCCCCCACCCCCCTTTGCGCGTGGCTGATCTTTGCCGCCCCCGAAGCTCCCCCCGGGTACCCGCAGCCACCCCAGCCACCCTCCGCCAGGCCCCATCCAAAGAGGCAGCCCCGATCGGCCTCGGCATGCCCCCCGAGCGGTCCAGAGCGGTCTCGGCCCCCTGGCGCGGCCTCTGGCGGCACCCCTGGGTCGGCGGCGAGCGAGGGGGGGAAGGAGGAGGAGGAGGAGGAGGAGGAGGAGGAGGAGGAGGAGGAGGAGGAGGAATGAGCAGGAGGAGGAGGAGGAGGAGGAGGAGGAGGAGGAGGAGAGGAGGAGGAGGAGGAGGAGAGCAGGAGGAGGAAGAGGAGGAGGAGGAGGAGGAGGAGGAGGAGGAGGAGGAGGAGGAGGAGGAGGAAGAGGAGGAGGAGGAGGAGGAGGAGGAGGAGGAGGAGGAGGAGGAGGAGGCGGCGGGATTTCCAAGAGGCCCTCGCACCGTCTGAGAAGTGTTCTGCGTCTTCGGGGGAGGCTCAGAAAACCTTCTGAAAAGGCATTATCCTTCTCACTTCCCCCCCTCGCTCGCCGCCGACTGGGGCATTCCGTGCCGCAGGTTACGGGGCCTGTTGAGGCCAGCTGGGACTACACGCTGGTCGGAAGAAGTAGGTAGAAACATGAAGTAGGAGGCGGATAAAAATATTGGGTCCAGGCCCTCTCAAAGAATAATAGAACACCGCAGAAGCAGATCGACTCTTGAAGTAGGAAGGCGCGCCTAAAATAGATTGGGATCTGGGATTCTAAAAACACCTACTGCCAACGACCGGCGTGTACCCGGGCGGGCTGTCCGTGCGCAGCCGGGAGCCTTGCCACCTCAGAGCGTGTGTGGGCGCCATCGTGCTTGTCCGCCGAAGCACTGCAGCACGAAACAGGCGGCTTCATAGGCGCTGGCACAGGCTGCGCGCTGCCGGTCGAGCTGCACGGGGTAAGCACACATTGGGCTGGCACACGCCCTGATGATCATCGGCCTCCCCGCCTCATCCTTATCCAGGAGGAGGAGGAGGAGGAGGAGGAGGAGGAGGAGGAGGAAGAGGGGGAGGAGATGGATGATGCTGCTGATGATGATGATGATGATGATGATGATGATGCTGATGATGATGATGATGATGATGATGATGATGATGGTGGTGATGGTGATGATGCTGATGCTGATGCTGATGCTGGTGCTGATGCTGATGATGCTGGTGATGATGCTGGTGATGATGATGCTGATGCTGATGTTGATGTTGATGATGATGATGATGATGATGATGATGATGATGATGTTGATGATGGTGATGGTGATGATGATGGTCTCCCCCTCCATCAGCTCCTCCTCGCCCGCAGCCCCCTCCCTGCGGGCGGGGGGAGGAGGGGCTCGGAGGGCGAGCGGAACGCTCTCGCTGCGTTGTTGTTGCTTGTTCGTTTTGCTTTTGTCTTGATGTCTCTCTCTTTTTCTCTCTCTCTCTCTCTCTCCCTCTCTCGTTCTGACGCGCGGGAGAGCTTCCCGACGGCCTCAACGCGAAATTCGGCGCGGCAATTTGAGCAGCATCTGGCCCCGCTCCGGGGTCTGGGCTGGGGGGGGAGGGGCTGGGCCGTCGGAAGCGACGAAGATGGCGCCAGAGCCGCCCCACAGGGGCACGAGCTTGCCCAACTCGTCCAGGGGAAGACCCTCCAGCACGAAGGCATTGAGACGTTTCCGATGTGGCCGAACATCTGTATGACAAATGCGCGCACACTACTTTAATGAGGTTGTCCTCCTCGCCACTCTGGCCTCCGGTGGACCTCCAGATTGCCGAATGGTGCCCTAAGCGGGGCCCACGAGGGCCCCAGCAACGCCCCACAGACTTCAGGGAACACCATGACATCATCCCTTCCCGAAGTGCAGAAGCACGGCGGGGACCGACTGGTCAACCATTCATTTTTGCCGACTCCCGCAAACACGGCCCGAAGAAGGGTCGACGAGGGCTCCAAGAGGCCCGCAAGAGGATCAGCTTGGCGCCAACCGGAGCTCCGAGTTGCCCCCCCCCCCCCCCCCAAAGTGTTCAGGGAGCTCGGCCCAGCTCAGCTACGCGAGGTCCAACCTCAGAGAACCGTATCCAAACGGAGACGATCTCAACTAAACCTAGATTGCGTAACTCAAGCTGGGTTGTTCCCTACCACGGTTAGCCAAGCTCGGACAAGTTCTGACAAACTAGGTGACGCCATGTGGGAGCAAGACACGTCGAGCCGATCTGAGAGCAGCTGGGATAAGCTGGCGGAGGCTGGGCCACGCCGCGCCAAGAGAAAAACAAACCTGAGCCTAGGCTGAGCTGAGCTCCCCTCACGGACCCTTTGCTTACCGTCGCTTCTGGACTTTCTTGATTTCCTTTCGAGCACACACCTCGGGAAGCATATCTTTCAGGACCGCCTGGTGAAGAGATACGCTACCTGTGCTGTCTGGAGAAGGGTCCACCACCGCTGGAGCAGCCAACAGGTCCCCGAGGAGCGCTATGCTTTAGACCAACAGCTGCTGTCACTCCAGCGGCAAACGGCAATGCGGCCGTGCGTCTGGATAGTAGCCTCTCCAATTCGTCTGTCTTAAGATGGACGCCAGTCGTGAAAAGCAACTGGTCCACCACGATCCGTGAGCGTGACTCCCCACAGTCGGTGCGCCTTTGCAACAACCCATTGTGTGAGTTGTGCTATCGGTGCTGAGACTGCCTCACCAGTTCGAGCGCATGCGCACTACAGATCGAACACAACATCAACTCTCATGGGAAACGTGCAAGTTTGAGATAATCGTTACTGCCACATGGGCATGGACGATGCGATCCGTGTGCGAGGCCCTCCAGGCGCAAGATAACATGACAACTTATATTCGGTCGGGCATGTCCCCCTACAGGCGGATTTTGGAAGAAACATAAGAAATAGTCCAAAACTCAGGGCGACGGCACGCCGGGGCGCTATCCGATTCCAGCCGATCAGCCGATCAGCCGATCACCCGATCAGCCGAACAGCCGATCAGCCGATAAGCGACCGAGCAGCCGATCAGCCGAACCTCTATCGGCTGATCGGTTGATCGGCTTCTTCTGATCGGCTGATCGGCTGATCGGCTGATCGGCTGATCGGCCGCTGATCGGCTGATCGGCTGATCGGCTGCTCGGGCTGATCGGCTGATCGGCTGATCAGCTGCTCTGCAGGAGGAGGAGGAGGAGGAGGAGGAGGAGGAGGAGGAGGAGGAGGAGGAGGAGGGGGGGGAGAGGAAAAGGAGGAGGAGGAGGAGGAGGAGGAGAGGAAGGAGGAGGAGGAGGAAGAGGAGGAGGAGGAGAAGCAAGAGGAAGAGGAAGAGGATAGGGAGGAGAGGGAGGGGGAGAAGGAGGAGGAGATGGAGGCAGGGGGGGAGGAGGAGGACGACCAAGAGATGGAGGCAGGGGAGGAGGAGGAGGAGGAGGAGGACGAGGAAGAGGAGGGGGAGATTGAGGCAGGGAGGCAGGGCGGCAGGGAATGAAAGGGAGGGAGGGAAGGATAGATAGTCGTCGGCTGCTCGGTGGCTGGCCGACACGTGGGCCGTCGAAGGCTCAAGACGGCCCATGACACTAATAGAAGAAAGCGCCACAAGGCGCTTCAGAACAAGCCCGGCCGTTTTGCCGACCCTCCCTCTGTCTCTCTCTCTCTCTCTGTTTCTCTCTCTCTTTTTCTCTCTCTCTCTCTCTTCTCCTGTCGCTCTCTCTCTCTCTCTCTCTCTCTCTGTCTTATCCATTGTTTCCCCTTGTCTGCCTCGCGCTGACGCTCGATTCGTTCGAACGCGGTCGCAAACTTGCCGCTGTGAAAACCAATACATACTCATGGAGTGTGTGTTTAAGGACGCTCGCATAGCGTCAAAATACACAATCTTCCCCGTGCGTAACCCCTGCGTTCCCCAAAAACCAGTGCTTCTTTTTTTGTTAATTTTTTCTTGCTCCGAACGTTGCGGGTATGTTCGCGGTTGCTAACGCCATGGAGGCCGACGCGGGCGAATGCGTGAAAACATACTACGCTTGGAACAGTTCAGGGGTGACGCACGGGAATTCTCAACGGTTTCGGCTGGACTCGCGGAACTAGTCTCTT